TGGGTGGCAAGCTGTATAAGAATGACACGCTGGAAATAGCCCAGTGTTCAGAATCTGTCATGCTAATGCTCTGAACCATTGTGCACAAATAAACCTGTCTTCTCCAACCCTTCGTGGTCTTGTCTTCTGATGTAAGTATCGTGGTTTTTTCCACAACAGGATGGGGTGGTGCTAAACAAATGTGTATTTTCCAAAAATGTTTCTACAAACAGGTAAATATCAGGTTAAGGTTTAACAACACATCTCTTCTCAGTCCCCACTTAAAATGATTATTGAGGACCAGGCTTTTCCATGGATCAGTTACACAACTCACAATATATCCCAGAACCAGGGGACACAATATTTGCATTTGCCCATACTCAGAAAAACTCATGAGCAAAAGTTTACCAGAGAGAGAGAGAAAAAAACCTCAAACCCTTTTTTATTGAAAATGAAAAGCATGATAAGTAAAACTAGGAGATAATACATAATTCAGCAGTTAGCAAGCTTTGATACAACATTATCAGTTTCTAAATGCTAAGCCTTAGCTTTCAGTCTAATCCCATGTCAATATATGCGGTTTTACCCTCTCTATAAGCACAGGCAGAACGAAGCTGAGAAAAGTCTTTCTGTGTAGGCCTCTCCTAAAAGCCAACAAAGGCTTCTGCCTGAAGTACTATTTAAGTAAGATTCCCTGCTCTGCTTGTGCTTAAGTTAGAGCTTTTTCCATTACTGGTTTGTTACTAGAGAATTCCACACAGGTTACAAGTAATACCTCCCCCCCCCCCCAAAAAAAGGCCTCTTCGAGCTGTCCTTCCTGGACAGCTGACATGGTGGTCTAAGTGATGCCACAGCAAAATGGTGGGGGCTTTTTCCCCCACATAATCTTTTGACAGTAGGATTGTTTTTTTAAATTAATTTTTACATTTATTATTTGTTCTCCCTCCAAATTTGATCCAAGGTACCATTGAGGCTTAGTGCAGCCTGAACATTTAGGAACCTTTCTCAACTCTGAATGATATAGAATAGAGGAAACCCTTTTCTTATTGCAGCATATGCATTGTTACTGTTAATTCCTTATATTCAGAAATCTGATTTTAAGAGAAAGATGCTTTCTCCAGATTGAACAATTACTTCACACCGTATCCATAAATATGGGGACGCATTACATATATGACCAATGGACCTATGATGTGTTGCAAGTTCAGTTTAGAAAACCCTGCGTTCTCTATATATTTCCAGCTCTCTTTTAACAAGGAGCACCCATCGCCCACATGTCCCCAGGTAGGGTTACAGACTTGTTGCCAGAAGTAGGTCCAGGTTGATCTGTCAGCTGCTACATGTTCCATGAAACAGTATACACCACCCTGGAAAAAGTAAAATAATACAAAAAAGAAAAAATATAAATCAGAACACTTTGAAATTACATAAAAAATTCACACTGTAATCCAAATTGTTCTTATATACAGTAACTTCCTAGCGACATGAAACAATAATTAAATATAGAGACAAAATGAAACTGGAATGCAATTTATGCATTAATGATTTACAGGTGATTCAAGTTCTAGGAAAACTGAGATTTGGCCTTTTTTACTTAAGGATGGTGACAAAGTAGCTGAACCAGTTCAATATATTTCCGCATATCAAACTCAAAATTTCAATAATTTATTCCTTTATTTATTTATATTCTTGCTTTATCATTTTTACAAATAACTCAGGGTGGAGAGCACATTTAACACACTTTCCTCCTCCTATGTTATCCACAACAACAATTCTGTGAGGTGAGTTGGCCGAGGAGAGAAAGTGACTGGCCCAAAGTCACCCAAGTGACTTTCATGGCCAAGACAGGACTAGAACCCAATACATCAAGATACGATGAAGGAAGCTGATTTATCTATTGTTAAATGAATAAAGAGATACACTTGACCATAAAGTCAAACAAGTCCTATTAAAGGACAAACAAGTTGTAATGTATGTACAGTAACAATTTATGTTTGGATAACCATCCCCTAACTTATTTGTTATCTCAATTCTTTCCACTCGAAAAATGCTACTTTTTTATTGCGAATATCCAGTGAGATTGCATTCACTCTAGATACCATTATTATGAGAAAAGACAAATTCCTTTCTAATAACTACTTATACAGATTAAGATGCAGTCACCAAAATTTCAAAGGAATGATGGGGAGAATAAAATAAGCCTCATGTTTTGACCAGCAGAAATGGTAGAAGGATAATGTTTTTAACTCATTTGTTTAATTAGTTTGTTTTTATCTAGGTCTAGAATTTGTGCGGACAGCCAATCACAGTTTAGGTCAAACTTATGCAGAAATATTAAAAATTCAAAAGGGTTCACCAAATTTTAAGCTTCACTGTGTATTTACTAATACAATTTTTATGTCATCCATCTCCCTTGCAAGGTGACTCTGGGTGGCTTACAAGTTATTTAAATAAGTAAAAGATAATTAAAATACTAAAGTTACATAGATTAAAATATCATTAAAAACTGTACTAAAGTGTACTAAAACCGAAACTGAGAGAGCTAAGAGATGGACAGGAAGGGGATGAGGTCTTATCCCGTCAGCCACCTCCAGCAGTGAGCTGGTGTAGGAGTAGTAGAGTGATGTTATTTTTCCTTTAATCAATAGAGTGGAGACTTTGGTACTAAGTTAAAAAATATATCTTATATTTTCAGCTTTGCAAGATAGTCCAGACAAGAAGCCCATCCAGAAGTACTAGCTCTAGCTTTATTGTAATGCTAAATTAACAAAAGCTTGCATGTCTGAAAGCACATCTTTCCAGTCTAACAATCTAGGGAACTTGCCACATCCCCACTGCTTCTGCAGACTCATTTGCCTCTTGTCTAATCATTGTCTAATTTTTCTACTTCATAGCTCTTCCTTCTGTCTGCCAAGGTCATTTCCATACACCATTACATAAAAATAATGCATTCTATTTTATACAGCTTGTATAGTGTCACTAATGATATGTTTATTCATAGAGGTTTTTTTTTCAAATACTTCCTTGTTTTAAATAAAATTATCAAGATCATGACATCTGGCCCTCTCAATTCCTGGCAAATAGATGGGGAAGAAATGGAAGTAGTAACAGATTTTATTTTCCTGGGCTTCAAGATCACCGCAGATGGGGACTTCAGCCAAGAAATTAAAAGACGCTTGCTCCTGGGGAGGAAAGCTATGGCAAATCTAGACAGCATACTAAAAAGCAGAGACATCACCTTGCCAACAAAAATACGTATAGTCAAGGCCATGGTTTTCCCAGTTGCAATGTTGTTTTAACTTTCCAGTTTAGCTTCAACCTAGTATTTTCTGGAGGTCTCTCAGACCAGACTGAATTCCCCTCCTTGCTCTTTGACTTACCGGTCTGAGCACTCGCAGAACTTCCTTCAGGACAGCCTGGGGGTTGTCGACAGAGCAAAGCACCAGCGTGCCAACCACCGCGTCCACAGAGCCGTCCGGTATCGAAAATATGTTCTCGGCGGAGCCGACCACAAAATTCTCGAACTGCAGGTGCGTATTCTGAGCCATGCTCTCCAGGAGGACGTTTCTAAAGTTGGGATTGTAGTCCATGCAGGTAACGCGCGAGTTGGGTGGATAAAACTCAAAGTTGGTGCCGGGGCCCACGCCGATCTCCAACAGGTGGAGCTTTCCCGAGGCGTTGGCGAAATCCCGCATGTGCTTGAATAGCGTCTCCTTTTCCTTGTGCATTCTTGCATTGTAAGATTTGCTCGCTGTCTTCACGAGAAACGGGAAAATTCTTTTACAAATAGGGTCCCATAAGCCAAAATAGGCAAGCACGTGGATGGGCAGGGTGAGGATTTTCATGCATTGTTGGAAGATGAGAAGCATCATCATCATCACCGGACTAGGAAGAGAAGCCCTCCCTGCAGCAAAGCAGCTTGACTCCTCAACGATTTGCTTTAAATATAGCCCGCTCCTCCCCGTTTCCTTAATGAAGTTGCGGAAGCAAACTGACCACCCCCCCCTCGGTTGCCATCTGTTCCAGTTCTTCCTTAAAGTGTCAGCGATTCTTTCAGTCACTTGTTGAAAAAAATACCCAGTGAACATTTGAATTTGATTTAAATGCAGATTGTTTCCATAGAATCGTAGGACTGGAAGAGATCTTGGAGGTCTTCTAGTCCAACGTCCAATTTTAAACTACCTCAGGTAATGAATTACCCCACACACACACACACATACACACCCATTGTCTACAATGTTGGCAGGTGTTTAAAGTAATAATAATAATAGTAACAACAACAACAACAACAACAACAACAACAACAACAATAATAATAATAATAATAATAATAATAATAATAATAATAATAATAGAGTTGGAAGGGATCTTGGAGGTCATCTAGTCCAACCCCCTGCTCAGGGAGGAAACCCTATACCATTTCAGACAAATGGCTGTCCAGTCTCTTCTTAAAACCTTCCAGTGTTGGAGCATTCACCACTTCTGGAGGCAGGTTGTAAATCTGCAAAAGCCATTTTTCATATTTTTCTTTAAATGTCTGTTTCTGAGGAAATCTCAGGAATTACACATTTATGAAAAGAAATTAGACATCTTTGCTTGAAATTGAAACAAATGAAACTTTGATTTTAGGTTTTGATAATTAGAATGATTTTGTTCTAGAAATGGCTTCAAGTGTTTAGAAATGTAAAGCAAAAGGTTCAGGTCCTAGTTCTTTTTTGGGGGGGGGGGCGGTGTATTGCTCTGAAAAAAATCTGAAGTCACTTTTTCAATCTTTCTCTCTGCACACTTATTTCCCTTAGCTTTCTAACTTTTGTTTCTTTTTTGTATTTTTATTTTATAATAAACTTTAATAGCATAAAAATCCACATCAAATAGAAAAAAATAGATCAGTTTAACATCAATAGCTCTCCAAAGTCTTATTGCAGATTTTTTTGAGAAATGCCTGATAGCTGAAACAATTCAGAATTAAGGAAACCGGAGCTGTGCCCAAAAATATAATGACAGTATTTTCTTTGAAAAAGTAAAGGACAAACCTGTAAAAACAGGCAAATCAGAAAGAGATTCAGATAAGTGTGTGTGTGTGTGTGTGTGTTGAAAGCTTAGCTTTACAAAGGAAAATTCTAGAACAAAACCAAAAAAATAATAAATAAATCTAAAAGACAGCTATACAAAATAAAGGACTGTCATTTATAATAAAGATATGTAGGAAGACAGCACCCCCGTGCCCAGAGAAGAAAATTGGGGAATATTTAAAAAAGCAGAATATATTTCCCCAAAGGAATACTAGAAAACCACCACCCCCAGGTCTCTCTGCCCCAAGCAGAAAGCAGCTCTGTATAAATGCAGATATGATAATCCTTTCAGAAGGACTGGAGCCAGGAAGCTTGGAGTTGATGGAATTAGAAAGACAAAGATCCATAAACCAGCAACTCCTCAGCCAAAAAATCCAACATAGGACATAGCCATCAGCTACAGCTCCAGGGAAGCAGGACATAATAGGATTAACCTACCACCACCAAAAAGACATGCTCAAAAGCTCTGTTCAAAGTTCATGCCACAAGAACAGGAACAAGTCCAAACACAAAAGCCCAAGAAGGTATAAAAACCCATCTCTCCCAGCACCATGTGGTCAGCTGCTCCAGAGCCACATGCTGTTGTGGTTCTGCTCTTCAATAAACAAGAACCTTTCTTCTAAACTAAATGGCTCAGGGGGAGCGAGAGGTTGCAGGATTTTAAAAGCTGCCCAACAAGAGCAATCCCTTGATGAGTAGAATTCCAAATTCCAGAGACTGTCCCTGCCACTTGGGCCCATTCTGGCAATTAGGGAAGGGCCCCTGGTTAATGGGGACAATTTAAATACATGTGATGCTGTTTGTTTTAGCCTTGGCATCTCCTTTAACATCGTTCTACTTTGCTATACATCTTGCAAATTCTGAATTAGCCAGCAACACAAACATTTCAGGAAGCAATAATCCAATAGGTATTCATTTATACAGGTAGTATGCAACGTATAACCGTAATGGAGTCTATGCATCAAGGTCATAAATCCTGACAGTCATAAAATGGTTTTACAACTTTTTTTGGTTGTACATAATCTTTTTTGGTCATTAAGCAAGCCAATAGTTCATCTGAAAACCAGAAGTAAATGCCAGGTTTTCTTGTAAAATGAGGTCAGTTGACCTCAGGACACTATCCACAGCCACAAATATTGTCTGGTTGCCGAGTGCCCAAAGTTCGGTCATTTGACCATGGGGGATGGGGTGGGACTGTCATAACTTCTAATCTAGTTCATAAGTAGCCCCCAGGTGCATTACCTGGATAGCGATCCTGTATTAAAATAATAGTTCTGCTTTCTAATGGTAGGGCCAATAGTATTATAATAGATCACATTTGATTCTTCTCAAATCTTTGGCAGTTAATGTGCGTTTTTTCTCAACACGTTTCTTGTGGCCTTGTGAACTATTTGCAATAAAACATTTGATGGTTCTGTGATCACGCCCCAATATTTTAGCAATTTCTAGAGTGCTGCATCCCTCTGAAAGTCTTTTTTTACAATTTTTGACTTTTCAGAGTCAGTTAAATCTCTTTTTTCGCCCATTTTGCCTGATGAAAAGAAGCTGCCTAATGCACACCTTGATATTTGTACTAAAAAACTTTTTCTTATCTTCAGATAATCTTCAGTCTGTTTATCTCTTCAATTTAGGAATGTTAAAAGTTATTCCTAAATTCCTGTCTGTATTGTACCTGAACAGAGTAAATAATCAATCTGAATATTTATCTTTTCAGTTTAGAAATGTTAAAAGCTATCTAACCCAGGGCATTTCAACCAGTGGTACGCATGCTATTGGTGGTACATTGGCATGTGGCAGGTCGTACGCGGCCCTGCCCAGCCCAGCCAAGGGTAGCGGGGAGGGAACGAGCCAAAGTGGCGTAGCACAGGACTTGCCGTGAGAGAGTCCTCAGGAGCTGCGGAGCTGGTTGGGGCAAGACAAAGGCCCCAGGATCGGTACTCCTGGCTCACCTGATAGAGAGAGGAAGAGGAGGGGTGGAGAAAGGAAGGGATATAAAAGGAGGAAGTTTGGGTGGGAGAGAAGAAAAGACTCTGGAGAAAGAGGCAGAAGAGAAAAGCCTTTTCTCACAGAAGCGGTGAGAGAGAGACAGAGATTAAGAGACAGAGGAAAGGATTTTGGAGGAACGTGTGCACGAGAATGGGAAGGATTTGGAGAGACGTGTGTGTGAGAATGGGAAGTGCCGGGTGAGCTGTGCTTTGCAGGATGAAGCAGGCAGACCCATGCCAGCATGCCCATCGGCATCAGGAAGGCTCCGAAGGAGGTAACTTGCTCTGTCAACAGCAGTGCTGTGGAGTCGGAGTTGGAGTCGAGGAGTCGGAGGAAATTTTGGGTACCTGGAGTCGGAGTCAGAAGTACAAAAAACTGAGGAGTTGGAGTCGGAGTCGGAACATTTATCTACCGACTCCACAGCCCTGGTCAACAGCATCCAGGCTGTCCTGAAGGAGGTTCTGCGAGTGCTCAGACCGGTAAGTCAAAGGGCAAAGAGTGGAATTCAGTCTGGTCTATCCAGACCACTGAATAATGAGCATGCTTTGAAAATGATGGGGAGCTGGAGCTTTAGATCCCCAAAACAGCACCTCTCTTCTGCTCTTTATGCTGCCGATTTTCAGACTTAACTTACCCTATGAAGGGGATTCCTTCTTAAAGCAACCACACCTTTCCCGCCTGCCTATGTTTCTGAATCATTTTCAGACGGTGTACAACTTTAATGAGTATATGCACAACTTTAATGTTAGTAAATGGCAGCAAGCTTCTGGCCTGAGAGAGGATCCTGCTTGGTACTTCAGTGAGAGATTTTCAGAAAATACTAGGTTGAAGCTAAACTGGAAAGTTAAAACAACATCTCTGAGCAACGACAAGCCACTTTTGAATTGTTTCCAAAAATACCCCCTCCCCATGGGGAAGTCTGCATGAAATCATCAGGGATCAAGTTTGATTTGGAGGAGACTTGAGTAGGAACCTGAATAGATCAAGCTGTGACTCTGTAGAAAGAGGACAAGGAGGGTTTTTATGAGGAAAACATAGGGAAAAGAGCCTTAGGCTGTCACAGCACAGACTGTGCCCATTTGGTATATCTGCTGGGGCACAGCACTACTTTGGGAGTTTTTTTGGCTTTCTAAAGTATCACATAATGTATTTCTTTAGCACAGTGGTTCTCAACCTATGGGTCGTGACCCCATTTGGGGTCAATCGACCATTTCACGGGGGTCGCCAAGCAAGGCTGTCCGCCATTTTTTTTGTCTGCCATTTTTTTTGTCCGCCATTTTTTTCCCCTTTTCCGGCGGGTGCCTTACCTCCCTTGGACTTGGCCAGCTGGTGGTCGGCCTGCTCTGTCCCTGCCGCTTGCCAGCTACGCCTCAGCCGGTGCAGGGGGCGGAACCACGCATGTGCGGTGCTCCCAGGCAGGGAAAGTCCTCGAATTACGACCGGTTGGGTAGTCCTTGACTTACGACCTGTTTAGTCCTCGACCTATGACCGGTTTAGTGCTCGACTTACGACCGGTTGGGGTTCGCGGCATTAAAAAGGTTGAGAACCACTGCTTTAGCACAAGTAAAGGTCAAATGTATGAGAGAAGAGTTAGAAAGAGAGATTTCTCTCTTTTAAAAAACATTTTATTAAGATGTAAAGTAAAATACAAAATACAAAGCAAATAGTAGGACACAATGGGGAAGAAAAAGGGAGAAGAAAGGGAGGGAAAGCGAGGAAAAAGGAAAAAAAGAGCTAGTACTTCTGGTTGTGCTTCTTGTTTGGACTATCTTGCAAAGCTGATTTTTATGGTATAAAGTATATATTTTTTAAAATAGTTC